CTTCTGTCATCATTTCCTGCTCCTTTTCATTCTCTTTCCAATCCTCAGCATCTCAAGACTGCAGTATTGGATCTTTTAGACATTAAAGCTATTAAGAGGGTCATTTGCTCCTATCCAGGATTATATTCCTGTCTTTTTGTTATCCTCAAAAAAAGATAAAAGATCATGGACTGGTGTCCCATCATTGGCCTTTCCTTTCCTAACCATTGTCTGGTGGTTCCTTGGTTCAAGATGGAGAGATTTATTCCTCTCCATTGGCCCTTTTCCCCCAGACTGTGGATGAGCACAGGCTCAATGTCTTGGATGCTTTTCTCCATATTACAATTTCCTTGCCTTCAAGTCATTTCCTCAATTTCATTTACTGGGATCAGGTGTAACAGTAAAGGTTCTATTTCTTTTGGTGACTCATACCTCTCTGGAACTTCTTGTTTCTCTAGGCCAGGCTTACATGGAGCTCATTCAATGGACTTTGAGCAACTAATGGAAAATCTCTCATGATCCTCTGTCCTTTCTGGTAATGCCATCACTTTCTCTTCTCAATGATCTGTCTTTGTAGCTGGATTGTGCCAATACTACAGTTGGCATCCCTCTGCCACCCCAACCCCATTGTCCAGATTTCCATCTCTTCAGCAGTGTATCTCTGGATGACTTCATAGTCTCAGGGTTTGGTCTCCTGTGAAGCACACCTTCCATATCAGGGTTCTGAAAATGTTGGCTGTCCATTGTGCAAATTCTTACTTGCTACCTCATTTTGTGAATCACTTGGTAATTATCCCCTCCAACAACTTTACAGTCACTTCCATTATCAGTAGTTCAGGTGGGACTCACTCCAACGAGTTATCTTCTACATGCTGGACTTTCAGTGTTGGGCCTATTCATATCATATTCATTTGACAGCCTATTATGTCCCAGGAGCTTTGAACTTGGTAGCAGATCGATTGTCTTGACTCAACACGATTCTTCCCATGGAGATATCACTCCATCCTCAGGTATTATTTCATTGCATTTGTTCCCAGTTGAGCACACCAATGATTGATGCCTCCTTTTCTTCTAGTCCCTGTTGCCTCATCCAGCATCTTTGGCAGTTGATGCTCTCAGCCAAGACTGGCCTCTTCTATTTCTATATTTGTTCCCTCCTCTTTGTCTTCTCCCACCTGTCTTGGTATGGACTCATGATGCTTCTTGTCAGGTCCTGTTGATAGCATCTTCTCAACTAGCTCAGTCTTAGTTTCTTCTTCTTCTTCTCTTATTGGCATTTGGGTATCTCTTCCTCTGCCTCCATCTTAGTCACTCTTGCTCCAACCTGATATGTTTCTCTTTCCAGAAGTGTCACCCCTTTATTTTCATGCATGGGTTTACTAAGTCTATTGTTCACTGGTCAAGTTTTGCTGGCTGTGTA